CGCCAGGGAGGAGTCAGAGAGTACCCGTATCGTTCTTGCCCCCAAGTCGTGAGCGGCCGTCATCCCCGCCAAGATGGCCTCATACTCCGCGGCGTTGTTTGTTTTCAACGCTCGGAACCTGATTGCGATTTCGTGCACCACGCCAGCAGGTGTGCGCACCACAACCCCTGCCCCGGCGCCATGTTTGCTCGCCGCTCCATCGACGTAGACTTCCCAGACGCCCTCCGGCGTTGTTTCGAGGGTTACCCCTTCTGCGATGAAGTCTGCTAGGATTTGAGCCTTTATTGCTGGCCTTGGCGCGTATTGAATATCGTATTCCGACAGCTCGACCGTCCATTTGACCATGCGCCCCGACACTTCCATTGAGGTTAGAATCTTTTTTAGTGGGAGGTTTGTCAGGACGGTGATTTGGTGCGCTTGGAAGTACGGGCGCAGCTTCTGCGAAGCGCTTACTAGTGCCAAGGCAGCCTTCTCGATCGAGGAATATCTCGTTTCCGCGCTGACAAGAGTGCGCGAAGTGTAATACACCGGTTGCTCGGTTCTGCCATCTCTTCGAGATATCAGCACTGCGCTCACGGCCCTTGTTGACACAGCGAGATACAAGAAAAGTTTTTCATTAAGCTTGGGGGCAGTTAGTACAGGGGGGATACAAGATACGCCTTTAGCTCTTGGAACGCTGCTTTGCATTCTGTAGACCATGTGAAGCGTGTCCCGTTCTTGAGTGTTTGGAAGAAGGGCGCACACTTGTCGGCGGATCGTGGTATAAATCTCCCCAGTGCCGCTATCTTGCCATTCAGAGATTGGATTTCCAACGCGTTCCGAGGCGCCCGTAGTTGTTGGACCGCGGTGATTTGCTTCGGGTCGACCTCTATGCCGCGCTTGGTTATCATGAACCCGAGGAATTTGCCCGCTTCCGCTCCAAAAACGCACTTGAGTGGGTTGTGCTGACGGAGGGCTTCGAAAGTCTCGCGCAGGTCCTCCAGGTGTGAATTGCCCGCCTTCGTCTTGACAATGAGGTCGTCTACATATGCCTCGATGTTCCGCCCGATTTGTTGCGAGAAAACCGTGTCAATCATTCTCTGATATGTCGCGCCAGCGTTTTTCAATCCGAACGGCATCCCTACGAAGCAGAAGTTCCCGAACGGTGTCATGAATGCCGTCTTTTCTTCGTCTTCCACGGACATTGGGATTTGGTGGTATCCGGAGAACATGTCGAGGAAGGACAATGTCTCATGGTCAGCGGTTGCGTCGATCAGCTGGTCGATACGTGGCAGGGGATAAGGGTCTCCTGGGCACACTTTGTTGATCGTGGTGTAGTCGACGCACATTCGCCAGGCTCCTGACGATTTCTTGACCAAGACCACGTTTGCCAGCCATTTTGGATACTTTACGGGTCGGATCAATCCGGCTGCCAGTAGGCGCGCCACCTCTTCTTCTATCGCCTTCAGTTTATCGCCCGTGAAGGATCTCCGACCTTGTTGCCTTGGCTCTGCGTTGGCTGGGACTGCAAGGCTATGTTGGGCTATCTCCCTGGGCACTCCTGGCATGTCTTCTGTGCACCACGCGAACAGCTCCTTGTACTCCTTCAGCAGCGTCACGAGTGGCTCGATTGCGTCGCTGCTGACGTGAGTGGAGATGCGTATCTTCCTGGTCGGCTCGGCGGGATCCAGCGCGACCTCGAAATCAGAATCCATGGACTCCGGTCGGGGTTCTTCCGCCCTTGTGTCGACGATGTTGGTTTGTCGAGCCACAACGCGGTCCTCCCATGTCGTACCCCGTGCTTCTCCAACTCCTCTCTGTGTAGGGAACTTGAGTTTCTGGTGGCACGTCGACGGGAGGGCCATGAACTTCGCAAGGAAAGGCCGGCCAAGGATGCCGTTGTGTGCCGATTCACAATTGACGATCGTGAACTCTACTTGTTTGGAGACGCGTGGTTCCTGGTCGCCGATCACCACAGGGAGGGTTATCACTCCAATTACCGGGACTTTGGTTCCGGAGAAACCGACCAGGTTGCCTTGCGCGCGCCTGATTAGGCGCGGGTCGATGTCCATTTTGTTAATGGTGCTCTGGAAGAGGATGTCAGCCGCGCTACCCCCATCTATCAGGAGGCGGTGGGTCTTGCAGGCGGCAATTAGCGCGGTGACAATGAGTGGCTCCTCTGATGGGACTCCTTGTGGGAATTCCGCGTCATCGAAGCTCAGATTGAACTTTGTCGGCGCGTCGACGGCCGCGCACTCCGTCGCGCGCTCGCGCTTGGTTTTCTTCTGGGGACGATCTCCTTCAACCGTCACCACCCCGATTTCTTTGCGCACTACATACGCGCCTGTGTCATCGTCGTAATCGGCTTGTGGTGGTGGTGGCGGCGGGTGCTGTGAGGCCTCAGCTTGCTCTTTCTTTACGTGAACGAATTCGGTTAGCAACCCTCGCCGTACGAGGCCCTCTATTTCGTACCTTAGCTCTCGGCAGTCTTCCGTCTGGTGCCCCGTTGCTCTGTGGAACTCACAATGCCTGTTTGGATTGCGCATGTAGGGTTGGGATTTCAACGGGGCAGGCCAATTGAGCTTGTAGCCTTTCTCGCGGAGGACGTGGAACACATTCCTCACGGAGTCATTAAGGGGAGTGTAGGCGTTGGGCGCGCGCCTGTCTGGCGATCGCCCGCGCTGCGCCTGTTCTGGTGGGGGGGGGGGGGGGGAGGGATGCGCTTTGGGCCACTGTGCATCTGCAGCAATTGATCTCGTGGGATTGGGGCTGGAGGCTGACGACGCGCCTGTTCTTCTCTCGGCATTTTTGCTGGTTCGAAGCGCCTGACGGATCCTGCCCCCAGGGTTTCTTCCAACGTGATTGCCTTTTCGATCTTCATCTCCAACTCTGTGGACAGCGTGACGGGCCTTTTTGCTAACGCCCGCTTGAGCTCCATATTGTTAGTGGCCTCCATGAGGTGATGGGCGGCTGTTTCGGGGGTAAGGTCGCGGACAGCCATCGCTACCCTGGACCATCTGGCGTAGAAAGCTCTCAGGCTTTCTCCATCTTTTTGCCTGATATCTATCAGGGCTTTGAGGTGAAGAGGGCGCCGTTTCTGGGACGCGAACTTTGTTGTGAACAGAAGTATGAACTCCTCGAATGAGCGGATGATTCTGTTCGGGAGGCGGTTGTACCAGTCGAGGCATAAGCCGGTGAACGTTGATGGGAAGGTTCTGCACAGCGCGGCGTTGGAGTTGGTTTGGAGTTGCATGCGCAAGCAGAAGGTGCTTACATGGTCTTCCGGGTCGGTCGTGCCGTTGTATGTTGGGAGGGTGGGTGGCGCTCCGGTTAGGTTCTCCGCCATTATTTGCGCGCTCAATGGCTGGTGGAGGACCCTTTTAGGCGGGTTGGGTCGGTATTGCGGAGACAGGTGTTGCTCTAAGAAGCTGAGGTCCGCCCGCCCTGGTAGTTCGATTCCCGGCGCTTCGCATGCGGGGAGTTCTGTTGGCGTGTGTTGGGGTAGCTGGGCTGTCCCCGACGTTTCTCCCAAGGCTTGTTGGGGAGCAACCGCCAAGGCTTGTTGAGGCGCGGCCGCTGTCGCGTCTATCGTTGGCGCGCCCTCCCTGCTCATCATGAGCGCGATGACTTGGCTCATTTGTTTCTGCACGTCGGCTATGACGTTGTTTTGCTTCGTCAACAGCTCCCTCATTTCACGGGCTGTCAGCTCGGGCTCCTCTTCTTCGATGAGCACAGCGTTGAGGTTGCTGGCTTCTGCGAAAGCCCTCGGGTCAGTCATTGCCTTGATCGGCGTGGCTTGGTCAGGTTGGTCGTGGTTGTGCTCTGCCATTGGTGGATTTTCTTTAGCGTTTCTTCTTGGCCCCACGGTGGGTGCCAATTGTTTGAACCTAACTGAGTGTAGGAGTGAGGTTCGAGTGAGTTTGGGTCAAGAAGAAACGCAAGCGTCGGGTTTGATCGGAGGGATAAGAATTAGAGTGTTGAGTGAGAGTGAGAATCAGAACTTTAGAAAGAGAAGTCGTTGCAATAGAGTGAGAATGGCCGAAAATGCGATCCCCTCACCCACCGTAGTAAATGCCATATTTATAGGCTCCATGGTGGTGGGTGAGTGGTTGACTCAAGAGGGGATACAATGATGTGACTACTGGCATACTAAGGATTTTAGGCCATCCCTCTACCTAGGACATGTCAGAGACCTGTCCATGGCTCTGATGTGACTACCAGCTGGGGGGGAAAGTTGCGCTTCTCTCATCCTCTGATTTGGCCTACGCTTGTCCTCTCTTAGCGCATGTAATTCATTCCGCGCTTAAGCTCTTTGCGCCAAGACGTGGTTAGCTATGATGAGGCGGCGCGCTCGGGATCCTCGAGGCGCCGCGTCGGGGTCTATTTAGTTGCACCCGGTTCCTTGGCGTGGTTAGGCCCGAGTCTTATGCCCAACAATATTTATTTAGTAAATGCTTTGATCGGCAGTGAGAGAAATCATCTTTTTCTAACCTTCGTCAAATCACACACAAGTCTATTTATTTTTTGCTTAATGTGTATCTAAGACTCTCATTCAAAGCTAGCTATTGAGCTATTAATTTAATTAATTTAACTTTGTATGAGTTTTGACAATATTTTTGTGAAAAATCAATTTGACATCTTAAGTATTGTATCAAATAAAAATAATATAATATCATCGCACGCTTTCAAAATACGATTCTTGAAAAATATAAGCTCACACTCCTGTTCTCGCTCCCGTTTCACACGAACCAGTGAGCTAAATTTGAGCAATAATATTCACAAATCATTACGTAGTCACCCATTAATCATAATCATCGTTCAAATATCGACTATAATAGAAACCTCATAAAAAAAAAGTCACTAATAGACTGCGAAAATCAGAAAGCGAAACGTGTATTGTGAATCCTTGAATATAAATATATTGTGATCCCTCCATCCCTCTTCATTACCTCAACAGATTAAAGACTGTTTGCAATCCAATTCAAGCCTCCGTAACAGTATTACCTCAACAGCCCACAGTCATGTTGAATTCCATTTCTCAGAGGCTGCAAGGCAAGGTCGCCCTGATCACCGGCGGCGCCAGCGGCATCGGCGCCGCCACCGCCAGGCTATTCGCCAAGCACGGCGCCAAAGTCCTCGTCGCCGACATCTCCAGATCAGAAACCAGCGTCGCGGACGACCACCCGGCGATCTCCTACGTCCACTGCGACGTCAGCAAGGAGTCCGACGTCCGGGAAGCCGTGGACGCCGCCGTCTCGATGCACGGGAAGCTCGACGTGATGTTCAGCAACGCCGGCGTTGTGGGGCGCAACAACCTCAGGATGGACATCGCCGCACTGGAACGGGACGACCTGGAGCGCGTGTTCGCCGTGAACGTGTACGGCGCGTTCTACGCCGCGAAGCACGCGGCCAGGGTGATGATCCCGAGGAACCAGGGTGGGGCCATCCTTTTCACTGCCAGCTACGTGACCGGGGCGTTGGGGGAGTCCGGGCACCCTTACGCGGCGTCCAAGCACGCGACTGTGGGGCTGATGAAGAACCTGACCGTGGAATTGGGGCAGTACGGGATCCGCGTCAACGCGCTTTCCCCCTACGGGATCCCGACGCCGCTGTCGATGGGGGCGACCGGGGTGACGGATCCGAAGCTGATCGAGGCCGGGGTGACGGCCAAGGTTGGCTTGGGCGGGGCGGTTCTCGAGGCGAATGATGTGGCGGAAGCGGCGCTTTACCTTGCCAGCGAGGAGTCCAAGTTCATCAGCGGGTTGAATATAATGGTCGACGGCGGCCAGCACCTGAAAAGTGCCTGATTTGGGAAGGACCGACGCGGGTCGGATGCCCAACAATGATTATTTTATATTTTATTTCTTTTTTATAAGGGAGGCTCAGCAATCATGAATGACTACTCTTGTCATATTGTGTTTTTTTTATGTTACGGATATTCCAAAAAATAACAGCCACAGAACAATCTACACAATAAATAAAATTTAAATGAGATAAAATCCAATTTTAAATTTCCTGCATCCAGAGTAAAAGTAGGAAGGGTAGATTCGTCTTCATAATCACTTATTATTTTCTTATTTACAGAAAAAATACATCAATAATGAGATTTGAACCATGATCTCTTTGAACAAAGATAAGAAACATAACTAGTGATTGCAATGCGGCGGGGCGAGGCGGGTACCCCCATTCCCATGCCCCGCCCAACGCTATTACGGGTCGGGGCGGGTAAAACCCGCGCGGGTACGGGGAGGGACGGGTCGACCCACTCTTACATGTTGTTAAAAAAAAATACAAGTAAATTTTACTTTTTACAATAAAACGTAGGAAAAACACTTTAAGAATGAAAAATATTGATAATAGAATGGATAATTGAGCCTAACAAGTTGAAAGATCGACTCTAACTAGTTGAAAAAAAGTCAACATAGGAGAAATATGTATAGATATTGTAAGAAATTGAGATAAAATGAGTCTAGAACGGGGCGGGGCGGGACAGGGCGGGTCGGAAGTAGATACCCATGCCCCGCCCCACGCTACTGCAGGTCGGGTAATACCCGCGGGGCGGGTTGAAATTGCCATCACTAAACATAACCAGTTAGAATAAACACATTTGTATGATCTTTTTCAATTAAAAACATACAAGGAGCTTAAATCTGGAAAAAAAATATAGGACTTTTCCACCACGTTTAGCACCAAAAATGTCATTGATTCGAATATTGCATATCGAATTGCACGCTTGAATGTATAGAAGCGATGTAGAATTCTTAACATAGACTTAATTGTTACAACTATCATAAAGTAACGATATTTTTAAACACATAACTTTTGAGTGAATATAGGGCACATGTGTCTTTAAGAGAGGGGTAAATATGAAAAGGTTGTGTGATGTTGGTTTGCTGAACGCGGATGGAAAATACACTACTAATAAGTGATTAAGAAGTAGTGTCCCGACCCACTAAACGCTCAACCATCACCGTCTCTCCAAACTTCTCATCAGACTCAACAACCGGCTAACCTCCTCTACCTCTATTATTAAGCTAGAGCAATTCTTGGAGGGGTAAATATGAAAAGATTAAGTGTTGTTGGTTTGCCCAACGCAAATGGAAAAAAGGTGCTACTAATATAAACAGGCCCAAATAGTGTCCGACCCACTAAACACTCAACCACCGGGTTACTTTCGCTACACCTAATATAAGAGTGAAATGGGAAATGTGCTTCCCCCATTACAAAATCCTTGCATCCGTAGCAAAAGTATGAAGGGTAGATTCGTCTTCACAGTCATTTATTATTTCTTCATTACAAGAAAAATACATAAGTGATGGGATTTGAATTGTGATCTCTTTGAGAAAAGACAAGAAACATAACCAATTAGACTAAACAAATTTGTTTAAACATTTTAAATTAAAAACATATAGGAAGCTTAAATCTGAAAAATCATTGGAATTTTCAATCACAGATAGCTAGGCCACTAACTCTCCCATAAATATTTTTTTCGGTATTTGATACTTCAATTTTCATACTTTGATTATTTTAATTCGAGTGTAATAATTAATTCTATTCTATGTATCTTATAAAAGGAGAATAATTTTAAAATCACAAGCCTAATGACATTGGTGCAAATATTGCACATTGAATTGCAGTATTGAATGTGTAGAAGCGATTCAAAATTCTTGACATAGACTTATATAATATAACTATCATAAAGCAACAATATTTTTGAACATAGAAGTTTTGAGTGAATATGTGACACTTGTGTCTTTAAGAGAGGGGTAAGTATGGAAATATTGAGTGATGTTGGTTTGTCGAATGTGAATTGAAAAGCCCCAACTAATGTAAATAGGTCTAAATGGTGTCCCGATCAACGTACTAAACGCTCAACCATCACTGTCTCTCCAAACCTTCCCACTGGACTCGACAACCGCCTAACCTCCTCCACCTATATTGTTACACAAAGCAATTTTCGGAGGGTTAAATATAGAAAGATTGAGTGTTCATGCTTGGAGAGCTTACTGGTGGGTTATTTAGTTTCTTTGACAACAATGTATGATCTCTTAACATCAGTTCATTTGGTTGATCTTCTAGGTTGACTTTTGAGTTGATTAAAGATAAACAGTTGTCCCGGACTTCCGTCCTACTAAAGGCTCGACCATCATCGTCTCTCTAAACCTTCCCATCGGACTCGACAACCGCCTAGCCTCCTCCACCTATATTGTTACGCAAAGCAATTTTCCGAGGGTAAATATGTAAAGGTTGAGTGTTCTTGCTTGGAGAGCTGACTGATGGGTTATTTAGTTTCTTTGATAGTAATGTATGATCTCTTAACCAGTTCATATGGTTGATCTTCTAGGTTGACTTTTGAGTTGATTAAAGATAAATAACTATACTTTTGTTGCTTTTGTTACAATACTCCTTTTCAGTATCATCATTTTTCTGATTTGAAATGTTTTGGTGGTTAGTTTCCAGTAAACAAAGACTATTCTGATTAGTGTTAAAATAGGGAATAGCTTCAATCATACCACTTTTACACAAAGTTTATATGCAAGACCTGAGATCATTGCCAAATTGAACTATTCAAGCTATAATGCTGATCTTCAACATATAAAACATAGTTTCTTTTGAGTGGAATAACCTCATGATTGCAGATAAGTTTTTATAATATGATGCTTTGTGATATTGGTCTCTTGCTTCCATATGTAAAAGTAGGGTTCTAATTACTACAATCTTCACATAATATAATAGCAGGAAGGAAAAAACATTTCGCCAATTTCAAATTTCCTGCTCCATGAGCCTTTGTAGGAGGGTATAATAGGGAGAGTCAATTTTTCTCTCTTTCCTCTATGGAACGGGTCAACCTACCGTACACGTGCGGACTTGAACGGGCTCAGAGATTGTTGCGGCCCCAAAAAACAGAACATGTTTCAGCCACGACCACATCTATTTCGTGCCTCCATAGCGATCACCATAACCGAGTCTTGGATTGTTCCGATGCTGGACTGGACTCCACCCACGCCAGGAATAAATAAAATAACTAGAGAAAGTGAGCTCCATAATTGTTTACAAAATAATTTCCCCAATCCTTCTTCCGTGTGCTAATCGCCTAATCCCTTCCCTATGAAAAGAAATCCAAGCATACTAAAATGATCCAGTCATGCAAATGAAGAACGGTGGTAAATTGCATGCAGGTAAAATTTAAAGATTAAGTCATCTAATCAAATCGTAATCAACCACCCTTTTTCCATCATTCACAAGCTCTAACAGATAAGTGATAACGAAATCCACAATATCGCTTCACTGTAACAATACAATATTATTGAAGATTGGTGGCTTTCTCTTCTTCTTCGTTAAACTAGCGTCGAAGATATACAAAGAGGGGTTTAAACAAGTGATAAGAGAATGGATGATTAAGAAATGAAAAACAGAGACCGAGAGGGGGAGTTAAAATTGAGGTTCGGGGGAGGATGACATGAAGGGAAACGGATTATAGAGCTAAAATTAACGGCAGGAAAACAGGGATGGGGAGAAGTGGCTACCGACGACGATATAATTGAGATTGAGAGAGAAAAGTGAACCATGAGCCGGTGAGCATTGAGTAGCTTTTTTAGGGGATATATGATTTTCTTTAAGCCCTTTTATTTCTCGGTGTTGGTAAGATATATATGAAAGGGCCAAAACAATACTACTTTTTTATTGCTAAAGAGAAAAAATTTAAAAATAAACTAATGCATGGATTCTAATGGGCTAACCGCTAACCATAGAATAAAAGAGTTGAATGGGCTTGACCCATACGGGATTTGGCCATCAAGTAAAACAAATGAACATCATGGGGTTGTCATTATAAAACATGCTATTTTCTCTAGCATAACATATATTGTGCTATTATTTTATATCTTAGTGGCTAAAATATAATGTATTTTAAAGTTATTAAATGGTCGACCTCGCTCAACCAGATTAGTCCAATTTTTATAATTTCAAATATATATTATGTAATTATTTGATATCCTAATGATTCAATTATAGTGTATTTTATAGGCGATTTTTTATTCGATTTTCTGGAATTCGGTTTCTATCAAACTTACTCCACCTCATCATATTACCAGGAATAATACTGTTTCACAAGGTAACAGGTACTCAAACTTGGTTCATAAGGCAGATTTTTTATTCGTTGCATCATCCATGCCTCTTTCCTGCTAAAATTCACTATCTTTATCATGTGTTTCCAAAAAAAACTATACAACAATAAACTATACACCCCCTTACATTCTAAAATTTCATAAGTCACCTTCCTCCGGCCAACTGGCCGGGGCCCACGCTAGTTACAGGAAAAAAAAAGCAACGTCGGTCAACTATCAATAAAAGAAACTTTTTTGTTATGATATGGGAAACTCTTTATTATCTTTTTAGTAAGGGCATAATCCTTGACTTAAGTAGATTCAACTCTTTGAACCGAGGCATGTAAGAAGAATGCAATACAGTGAAACTCGACAAATGTAACTGACAAAATAGCACTCGTCAATACAACATAATTACATATAGAACAATTAAAATCATTGAAGAGGATACAACCTCACAGTTCGGTCACAATCCACTTGCAAACTGAGCAAACAAAAATAATGCCCACTGCAACACTCTAAATCCCCATCTATATTCCCGTCAAGAGGAAACAACACACTCAAATAGAACTCTACACATAGTTCATTAGATAAAATCATGGCAATAAATGTGAAAGTCATCTATTATACGATGAAAAACTTACTAGAAGCAAATCAATATCTAACGTGTGGATGTAAACAATGTAGTAAAAAAATGAGTT